AGAAAAGTAACAATTTGTAACGACAAATTTGGAAAAATAAAAAATTATGAAAATTAAAAATCAACCACTGCATTTAAGAATGTCTTTTTGTAATTAAAAAAAAAAAAAAAAAAAACCAATGATGAAATTAAATTTGAAAAAAAAATTAATTTGATAATTATCAAACTAATAATAATAAAAATAAGAATAGTTTAAACGATATTATAATATTGTTTGAAAAATACAATGATCTTGTAGACTAAAGTCACTTAAAAAACTTAATTTTCTTTGTTATTCTTCCACAAATTTTAAGTCCACGTCATTTTATTACTTATTCACGAAAAAAGAATTAAATTTACTTTCGCTCCAAACTTTTGAATGAGGAACAGAATTTGATTGTCAGGCGAACTTGTTACTTAATTAAAGATTTTAAATCCCCTAAAAGATTGTGGAGGTTGCCCAAAATTTATATGATCATAGTTTTTGAACACTAAGAAATTATTGACATTGGAGACTTGTTAATGAACTTAAATTTAGTTTAAATGTTAAAAAAATTTACCTATATTTATGTTATAAACTCATCGCTCTCACGCTAATGGCATGAAACGGAAGTTTCCGATTATCACAATACTTTTGAAAAGCTTTACATAAACATGAATATATGTTTTGAGTTTATATTTGTTTGGAGTTTGCTCCATGTCGTTACATAAAGTTAAATTCTCAAACAAAAACAAAAAGCTAGCTACGGTTATTTAAATATTGTGATTTGCACTTTTGTTAACTTTTTTGAAAATTTAAAGTAAAAAAAGTAGCAGAAGTTTTATCAAAAAAAAACTTAAAGATATTTCATCTGTATGATAAAATAACATTAAAACGCTTTTCTTCACAATCGACCTTATAATTTAAATTTGAAAGAGTGCTTTTTTGAACCATCCTACTAAATTCGCTATATTAAATAAATTAAAATAAGCAGTTGTTGTTATGAAAAGTTATACGACTCCCCCCCTCCCCGAAACGAGAAACCTTTTCGGGACGGCCCTTACAACAACCACGCTGTCCCCGGTTCCTTTACGGTAAATTTTTATCAGGGCCACTAACCTATTTTCTCCCGACAAAAAAATTAATACTATAACAAATAAATAAAAAAAAATGCCTATTCAAAGCTTTTTTGCAAAAAATCTTTCTTTCTAAAAAGTTATAAACCCCAACTTTGAAGAAAAACAAAATGTTAGAGAAAAAAAAGTAAGGGACCCCCCTTGCAAAGGAAACCAATTTAACACGCATGTTCATCGGGACTACACAAATGCTGTAAGATAAAGTAAAATCAAAGTAAAGTCTGAAAAATCAATTAAAATTAAAAAAAAGAGAGAGATTCAAAAAGGTGGAGTTCTCTAGTTGGCTATGAAAACAATTTTCAAATGTACTTTTATTAAGTTTCAGAGCACTAGCTAGTCTGGATGGTAGTGAAAAATCAATCGCAAGATTCCTGGACATTTGAGAGCCAACAAACACCTAAAATTAAACACCTGAAATCAAACTAACGTTTGAAAAAAAATTTACAAATTTATTCTAAAGCACTATTTTAATTGAATAAGAATTTATTTTTTTTAATCACCCTTGTCCGGGTTGGACACCAACACAGCAAAAAGGAGGTTATTAGGGTACCCACAACCTATAGTAAAAGATTGAACAACTTTCCTTACCATCTTTTTTCAAATAGATTATACATGATAAAATATCATATCATATATGATAAAATGCAAAAAAAGATTATATCTGATAAACAATCCTTTACTCATATAAATTATATCAGATAGTTTAAATGACTTATTTTTTGAAAACTGTTTTAGCAGTCAATGTCCTTGCGGATGCCAAAAATGTAATATTGTGTCATATTACCATAACAAAATACTTGATTGAAAAAAAAGCACAAAGAAAAAAAACTGGAGAAAAAGCGCGCTCTAACGAACAGTGACTTAGTCAAGGTTTACACATGCATGAAATACCTATAATTTAGAAATTATGCCCCTTTTCCCCCACCCCCCTCCCGCCAAAGTTTTACTATGACCACTAATCTATTTTTGCTCAACAAAAAAAAGAAATAAAAAATCAATGATTATTTAGCAGTTCCTATTAGCACTCATGCGACTGCGAGCCCGTCTCTACATTACTGGTATACCCACATGTTGAGCCCATCTCTACAATACTAGTATATCCGCGTATTTGTCCCTAATTATAATAGAACTACCCTTTATACTTATATACCTGATAAATATACTTGATGAAATATTCTGGAAAAAAAATCATTTTCCGATGCCCCGCCACAAGTTGATGCCTAGATACATCAGAGTATTACCTGAAGTATTACCAAGAAGTACCCTCAAATAGGAAATGGATTTGAATACGCTACCTATCTCAAAATTTATGTTAAGTTTACATGAAATGACAGTTCTTTGAGAAAGTAAATAATATAACTTACATTTTACTTACTTACAAAGTGTAGCATAAAATTTCAAAGAAAAAAAATACTTTTATTTGTAATTGTAAATAACAAATTTTTAAAAATTACTTTTATGTAAGCTGTTTTTGCTAATTAGTTACTTTTACATGTAAAAGTAATTTGTTGTAATGATGTAGTTTGATTTTATTTTGTAAAGTAAGTGTTATGTTTTTTAAATATTATATTAATGTAAGTTTACTTCATAAATAACTTTTTTTACATTTAAATTTTTTACATAACTACAACCAAAATTACTTTTCAAAGTAATTTACTTTACACGACTTACCATTAATAGTAAGTTGCATTTACAAAAGTAAAAATGCGTATGTCTTTTACTTGTAAAAGTAAATTACTTTTTCGAGTAACAGTTACTCATTTAAAAAAACTTAACTTAAGTAATTAAGTATTTCACGTTATATAATTTATGTAAAAAAAAACGAATTACTTTAAAATGTAAGTAAATTATATATTTTTATATGAGTTGTGTATAGTAATTTGTGTTTTTACATCAAAATAAGTAAAAGTGCTATCCCTACTTATTACAGCGTTTGCTGGAGTAGAAGGATTAAAGTTGAGTTACCAATCAAGTGATCCCGAAGACTGCACATTCCTTACACCCAATCATTTTTTATTTAAACAATTAGGTGGTAAGTTTGCCGCGGATACAGTGGGTACCACTTAATACAACCAAAAAAGAAAGTGGCGAATGCTAAAAATTGAGAACATGTTTTTATTAATGCTTTATTAATTTTTGATTTCAATTGAAATCGAGAATTAATAAGGCATTATTAAAAATATGGTCAAAATTTTTAAACGCTGATGACTGTTCTTAAAATATTTTACCAACTTAGGGGTAGATTAGGAGCAGTGACGGATCCATTAAGGGGATGGGGTATACATCCCTCACCCCCTCACCCACCAAAATTTGAAAGCTTTTTTTTTTTTTAATATAGTTTTGATATGAACATCTCTCTCCTCACCAAAAAACTGAAGCCGTCACTGATTAGAAGTAGATAACGTTCACCCTAAAATTCTCAAAATATGTTTTAAACCACTTTGCAAGCCTTTATCTATATTATTTAATAAGTCTTTCAAATCAATTGTTATTCCAGACCTTTAGAAAAAAGCAAACATTATACATGAAGTGTTAAGACAATCGTGATATCGTGAAAAGAAGATGCAAAAATTATAAAAAAATTACAAAAAAAAAATTTTTTTTTTTTAAATGACTCAAGTGTGAAGCCTACCATATCTTATGTTAATTTAATGAAAACTTAAAATACTATTTTTATTTACAAGAAACTATTTTATGTGAGTTTGCATCAACTTTTATTGACGCGTCTAACTGATCGGTTCTCACAACAAGACCTTTAAGTCTACTTTAAGTCTTCTTTAAGTCTTCTTTAAGTTTCCACGCTCTTTATTTTAATTTAACTTTTATCTTATTTTACCATAATCTTGTAAACTTTATTACTTTCTATATATTTGTATGAAAATTTTAATGTAATAAAGAACAGAAAAAAAATAAAAATAAAAATAAAAATAATATTATTTTTTTTTTACAATCGTGAATCAGCATAATGTATTCTGTCATAATCAATCATTAAAACGGGACGAGGACAGGGGAGAAAGTTGACTAGCTCCAAGTACTGTTTATTGTTGGCGAAATATTAGGAAATATTCCTCGTAAATAACTCCTCATAAAATAAGTTTCTAATCAAATAGTAACTTAGTTAGTAGTTTCTTAAGATTTTCGGACCCTTTGTTTCTGAGGCAAGTACGATACCACTGCGCAACGGTTGCTTTATAGTGCTATAGCGCAAGTTTCCAATAAACAAGTTTCTAATTAGAAAAACACGTTTTTAATATTTGGGGCCCCTTAAACATAGGGGGCCCACTGTAAATTGCACTTGTTGCACTTGCGATATTACGGCTCTGGTTTTGATTGCTTTTAAGTTTTAAAAGTTAAATTAAGTTTTTCTTCAACATCATCTTCTAGATGTCTAGATTGATGCAATTAGTACCGTAGGTATAAAATCTGAAATATTGTGTACCATAGGTACACAATTAACAGTAGGTATTAAATTTATTTGTATTTACTAATGATATATCAAGAAATTCTTTGTTTCTACTTGATAATATTTGAGAATATTTTGGTAATACAAAGAGTAACTAAAAACAATAGTTTAATTTTTTTTTAAATGCGGATTTCAGAAAATGAAATTTTCAAACATTCGAAGGACGATCGAACTTTTTTATCGGACGGGTTATCCGTAAATCCGTGTTTATAATAGTACACAATATTAATTAAATAATTACTTTCTTACCTTCAAATTGCTAATGTACTCGAGTTACTGATTTCTTGAAAAAAGTTTCTAGAGAGGATATTAAAATCGTGAAAAGTAATTTTGAATATTGGCTTATAACTTTGCGTAAATAAATATTTTATTTTGTATCTTTAATTAAATAGATATGGTTTATTTGTGCTTTTTTGAGTAAATAGTTTGTTATGTTATGAAAGTGTTAAATAATAAATTTTTTATAAATTAAGAAAAAAACACACACAAAAAAAAAAAAACTATAAAAAGAGTAATGTAAATTTGAGTTGAACATGGAATCCTATCAGCAACAGTCGTGTCATCAATCTTATGGTGGAATGGACAGACCACTTTTTGGAGAATCTAACAAAAAAGTATTTTTTATTTTGAATTTTTATTGAACTGAGCAACTGAAGATGGTTGACTATAACAACTTCTTTAATTGAATTTAAGTTTTAGATTATTTGTTTTTCATCTTTTTGGAATGATCAAGTTTATTTTTAAAAATGTTTACTGTTTTTTTGCTGACAATTTTTTGCTTTAAACTGTTTCATTAATTACCTATTTTGTTAATTAAAAAATTTAAGCCTATTTTCTTAAAAAAAAATCTGTTTCCTAATTTTCAAGTTATTGATCATTATATTGTCAAGTGTTGATTTCTGGCACCACAAAATCAGCACATTATTATTACAAAGTAATTTTTACCTTTGACTAGCTATTGAATCTGCATTTTCTAAGTTTTTTGCTTAGTTAATGAAATAAGTAATTTATGTAAATTAAAATAATGAAATAATGTAATAAGTAAGTTATATATGCATTGTTGCCATAAACCAGAATCGTAAAACACAGATTCAAGGGTTCAAGTGTTTAAATTTTGTTAAAAGAATGTTTTTTATTAGCTATTTAATTCTGTAAATTGTTTTTACTACAGTGTTGGATTTACCTATAGGTTAACTAAGCGGCAGCCTAGGGTCTCAAAATATGTTCAACTTTTACTTTTCTAAGGCTTTCTAGAGATTTATTTTTAAAAATATTTCATGATGTTTTTTTTTAATTTATTCACTTTTATCTATAAATTTGAGATAAATTTAAAAAAAATGTACAAAAATTTCAAGTTGATAAGCAGTAAAGGTAAAATATAAACTTCGTCTTCACTTTAAGAATTATTTTATTTTTAATTAATACGTGTTGAATCAAAACAATTAGATTCCAAAAATGATTCAAGATTCTATACATTCAGATGTTTCTTAATCATTGAGCACTGTGACTTGGACATCAACAGAAATAATAAGTTTATGAGAAATACAAGGACAATATTTTGTTTGACTTCAAGGAACAAATTATATTTAGCTAATAAGCACAGATTTTTAAGAATCAAAACAGATTTAGGAGAAGATAGTGATTATTGTGAACTTTTTTTTTTCCTGAGTTTGTAGCCAAAATGGAATCATTTAAAAAAATCTTATTTTCAAACACTAATTACTTTAAGCACATAATATTCACTAATAATGATTAAATATAGTTACATATATCTTTGATTAGAAACATCCAAAAAAGTGTGTTGATTAACATATTACTTTGATTAGAGAGCTGTAAAAAAGTGTTCCAATAAATCCCACTATTTGGGCTAGTTAAAACAACAATTGGGTTAGTATAAAATTCTGAGTGTATACTGTTATAACAAATGCACTTTTGTATATACAGATTCCTTTTAACAAATTAGTCTTTTACAGCATAGACTTTTTTTGTAGTATTTGTGTATTATTTCTAGCACTTTTTTTTTCAATTTTTGTCTCTCTTCTTTTCTTTTGCTACTTTGTTTCTGGCAAGTGTTACAAACCTTTTTTTTTTAAGATTAATTCAAAAATACTAAAAAGTCACAAATTTTCTTCTTTAATAACTTTGTGATCAAAGTTAGTAAAGAACAAACTACTAATAATAATGCAAAAAAATTAAAATGACTGAAAACACATGCTAAACAATAAGATGCTTGATTTAAATTCTAGTTTATATATAAGTGATACCTTAAAATCTAAAAGTTCCAATAAACTTCACAATTGTCCTACGAAAACCCCATTTACCAGTGCACACTTAATCAATTTAATTAAGGTATTCCATGCACAAAACTTTATAAAAAGCACATTTAAAGAAAAAAAAAATTCAAATAAAAATTAAATGAATATGAGATTACAGGTAGTAGTACAAAAATCACAAAAATTTAATTTCATTTGTGCAATTCTCTAAAATTTTGAACCTAAAATAATTTCATGAATTATTTGATCTAACACCAAAATACTATGTATTTTAGTTTTATTCAAATATTTTTTTGCAACACAGTAAAAAGAATGAACTTAATTCAAAAATAATATTAAACACATGTTGTCTGATACAGATTACTCATATAAAAACATGTTAAAAGAAATCATTTAACAGTATCATGAAAATATCAATATTTCCTTGTTTGATGAAGTTGTGCAAATCAATAAATTCATAAAAGATAAATTTAGAGAATCAGTTGTAACACTTATTCACATAGATTTTTTTTTTTTAAACACCTTTGCTTCCAACAAGGCTACAAGCAACCACTAATTAGTATTAGAAGTTACTGGAAGAAAAAATATGAAGATTGTAGAGCAAGATAACGATTGACAGATGACTTAAAAGATTGTAAATTATATGAGTCAGGAAAGCAAGATGAAGGAGGCAAATTCCAAAGAACTGATGTTTGAGGAAAAAAACTAGATAAATAAGAGTTTTTGGAGGACTTAGGAACAGTCACAGAAAAAGGATGAGTCTTAATTGAATGAAGAGTAACACGAGAATGAATTTTAGTAGAAGGCACAAGAAATGCCAACTCTTTAAAGCAGTGCCCATTATAGTATTTGTAGAAAAGAGAAAGAGAAGCAACATTATGACAATGTGATAATGGTTAAAGGTTGGCTGCAAGAGCAGGTCAAATTATGTTTACAATATGTTTTTGTACCTTGTCTAAAAGAGAGAGGGCATTATTAGAAGATCCGCCCCAGATATGGCAACAGTATTCCATACAAAGATGGATTTGAGATTTATTGAGATAGAGAATAGAATCCAGAGTAAGAAAGTGACAAGCTCAATAAAGAGATGAAACCTTAGCAGATGCTAATTTTGCAATCGATTTGAAATATGGCAGGGCTCAATTTAACGGTCAGACATTGCTGCCCCTCGGACCAGAGGCTCAGCATTGCCCCACTGTTAAATTGAGCCCTGTATGGTTTCCAAGAAAGATCAGAAGTTAGAGTTATTCCTAGAAGACGATAACGATTGGCTTAATTGAATTGAGTTTTATATGAATTAAAGTTCACCAGCCACTGTGAGCACTATGCTGTAACAGAAGTGAGATCCTTTTTAAGCTCAAATGCCCCCTCCAAGCATTCAGAGAGTGCTGGCTTCAAATCATGATAAGAGTAAATGGTAGTATCATTAGCGAACAATGTCACCTTAGATGTGAGAATATCTGGAAGATTGTTAATGTAAATTAAAAAGAGTATAGGGCCAAGGATTGAACCTTGAATAACCCCTGAAGTTACAAGATATGAAGAAGAGTGCTGTCTATCAGGGTTGGCATTAAAAAACCCGCCCAAAAAAATCTACCCAATAAAACCCAAAAAAACCTGCCTAAAAAAACCCAATAAAACCCTGGAAAATCTGGGTTTTATTGGGTTTTTTTAAAGATATTTAATAAGTTTATGAACTATTATAACCAACTTTAACATTATAACTATAATTTAATTTTTATTAATTATAGTTATTAAATATAATTGTTAACTAAAATAATTATTAACTATTATTATCAACTAAATTATTATTAACTATTATAACCAACAATAACAGCTATCAGAGCAGGTTTACTATTATTTGAATCATTATTTGAAAATTTGTTATTACAATTTTTATTCAAATATTTTTATCGATTGAGATTTTTATTACTTTATGTTATTCACCTCCCAAGTTAAATTTAAATGAGTAGTAGTGACCAGATAAGCCAACACAACAGTCGAGGAGGCTACCTTGTTGTGGTTACAATCCTCTCTCAACTCTTTAACTCCTAAACATGAATCTTTATAAACAAGGCCGCTGCGCAGCGGAACAAAATTGTTCATTTGAATTTCAAGTTCAAAGTTTAATTGAAACTTCAGTTACTACCTCCCATTCTCTAGCCTTCTTTTTCCCATTTTCTCATTGATATTTTTAATTATATAGAATAATACTTTTAAATTTAAAATAAATCAATACATATAGATTAAGCGTGAAATTTGTTTTTTCTATTACAGTTTTAAATTATATTAAAAAATCTTTTTCAAAATAGTTTAAAAAGTTCTTGTTATAAATAATTAAATAACAATATGTAAAATATATTTTAAATAAAATTAAAGTAGAAAATGAAACTAATTTTAAATAAAAACACAAAAATTTTTTTACAGGGACAAAATAAAAATTAAACCCAAAAAAATCCAAATTTATCCAATAAAACCCAAAAAAACCCACTAGGCCGGGTTTTTTTAAAAAAATCAGTGTTTTTGCCAACCCTGCTGTCTATCGAGGACAACTTACAATTACATACTACAATTGAAAAGGAAGGATTCAATAATCTTAAAGATGTTATTAGATACACCATAAGAAGAAAGCTTATGGAGAAGACCAGCATCCAAAATTTTTCAAAAGCTTTAGAAATTTCAAGAGCAATAGCCTTAACCTCTCCAACTTTATCTAATGCACAATAAAACCTTTTTGTTATTAATGCTAGCAAATCAGCTGTATAACGAGAAGATCGAAATCCATATTGGTGATCAGAAAGTAAGTTATAAGATTTAAGATGAGAGATTAAGTGTTTGTTAATTAAAGATTCAAAAACCTTACTTATGATAGGAAGTAGAGAAAGTAAATAATTTGGGTTGTCTGGAAACCGAGTTGGAAAGTTGACTATTTGAATTAATGATTGAATAAGGCAAAAGTTGGTAGTTTTAATGCCTGCAGAGTCACTGACACTAGAGCATATCCATTCAGTTTGTTGAGCATTAAAGTTATCAATAACAGCAATATTGGCTGATGGATAAAGAGAGATGGCTTGGTCAATATGATCAGAAACAAGATCAAGAAGGGTGCAGTCTTGAGATGAAGGAGAGAAATACAGAACAAAGAGAAAGGTGATAGGGTAAAGTGGTGCTAAACAAAAGCACGTAAAAGAGTAATCTGTGGATTCAAACCTAGTTTCCCGACAAATGGATGAATTCTTACGAGTGTTAATGCCCAGGCCAAGCATGTGACTATTGGAGTCTTTACAAATCAAAGGAAGTTGACTACAACACTAAGATCACTAGATGAGTCAACCAAACTC